GCTGGCTGGGGAATTCTGGGAGTTGAAGTCCACCCGTCTTAAAAGGGGCCAAGGTTGAGAAGCACTGCTCCAGATGTTCTGAACTACGACTCCAAAAGTTCCCCAGGCTGGAAAATTAAGGGAATATTCTCCGTCGGCTGAGAATCTCTACTACGACGACAAAAGATAAGGAAAATTACTTCTGCAAAAGCTTTAGCCATTCCTACGGGGGGCGGAAACAGAATTCCTCCATCGTTATCAAGACTTGACTACCTGCTAACCCTATCCGTTCCGCCAACTGGCATTTTTATAAGCCGGATTCGCCCACAAACTAGAAGCCAGCCCTGAGAACGGGGCCCAGAATTTCTGCATTAAAAACGGCACCGGCCTCCGGGCAGCTAAAAAACGCTGATTTGTCGTGTTATTTGCAATCCATCCCATCGGCCGGGTTTCCAATCCGTTTCCACCCCTTTTTTCCCCTGGTGGGAAACAAGTTAAAAAGTCCCCTATTGTGGGGGAGATGGGCGGGGGAGAAATCCAATAAATAATAATAAATAATAATAAATAAAAAACCAGAAGGAAGGCGAGGACCAGGGGGAGAACCGCGGCAGGTATTTTGCACCCAGCCCGCTTTTTAAAGATCCACCTTTCGGGATCCTTTCTCCGATTCCAAGCAAAGCTCCGCTGGTCGGGACGGCCCCTGGAAAAAGAAACATCTCAGGAATGAGAGAGGCCAACTCTTGCAGCCAACTGCAGGGGCGGGAAGAATTTAGGAAAAAATAAGTGGTTTCCAGAGGGGAAAACATAAATGGTTTCAAGAAGGATTGGCTGCAGGGTGGAAAGAGGAGAGTGGTTTGGGCTGCACTTAAGAGGGAAAAAAAGGGACCCTCCCAAGCTAATCCCGGTCCAGGAAGACACTTTTCAAGAACTGGGGAGGGGTTCGATTTCAGCAACACCCCCCCCAAAAAACCAGGAGCGATCGGAGCCAGGAGTCGTGGGCATCTTTTGGGGCTGAAAAGATCCTGCAGGATCTGCTTGGCCAGCTGGGAGGGCGCTGCAGTTTGCATTCCTGAATTTAAGGGGCAACTCCAACCGCACGGGGGATGATGGGGAATGTAGTCCAAGCGCTCTCGAGGAGCCCAGGGTGGAGGAAGAGCTTCTCATAAAACCCCGCTCCAGGTTGGGGCTGATCTTTCACACACACGCCCCCCAACCGTCTCTCTCTTTGGCTCAATTGCGCAATTCCTCCCCAGGGCTCTGGTTCACGTGGGTCCTTCTGAGTCTCCCTCCACCCTAGGAAGGACTACAACTCACATCACCTCCATCCCTGGTCGGGATGGTGAGAGTTGTGGTCTAAGCAAAGCAAAGAGGATGCAGGTATTGGGGGAAGGTTCGGGACCAGGTCTCCCACCTCTGGCCTAAGCAG